GACTCCTGAAGTATTTCATCTCCCAAATGATACCTTGTATCTGGTCTCCTGCTTCCTACCCCTATCTTCATTACATTACATTTGCTTGGGTTAAACTCTAACAACCCTTTGTTCGACCATTCCTGCAGCTTGTCCAGGTCTGTCCTCCTCTGTCTTAATCCGTCTCATAATTTTGGCATCGTCAGCAAACATTGAGAGGAATGAGTCAGTACCCTCTGGGAGATCATTTACATATATCAGAAACAGGATAGGTCTGAATACAGAGCCCTGTGGGACTCCACTGGTGACTTCACGCCAATCTGAGGTCTCACCCCTCACTGTAACTCTCTGCTTCATATTGCTTAGGTACTCCCTTATCCACTGGAGCGCCCTACCAGTTACTCCTGCCTGTTTCTCCAGTTTATGCATCAGCCTTTTATGGGGTACTGTGTCAAAAGCTTTCCGACAGTCCATAAAAATGCAGTCCGTCCACCCTTCTTTTTCTTGCTTAATCTTTGTCACCTGATCGTAGAATTCTATTAAGCCTGTAAGACAAGATTTACCCTCCCTGAACCCATGTTGATGGGTTGTCACAAAGTCCCTTCTTTCCAGATGGGTTACTAGTTTTTTTCTCACGATCTTCTCCATCACCTTGCATGGTATACAAGTTAAGGACACTGGCCTGTAGTTCAGTGCCTCTTGTCTGTCACCCTTTTTGAATATTGGGACTACATTAGCAGTCTTCCATATTTCTGGTAGGTCTCCCATCTCCAGTGACCTACTATACACTATCGAGAGTGGCAAGCAAAGTGCTCCTGCACACTCCTTCAATACCCATGGTGAGATTCCGTCCGGGCTAACAGCCTTTCTCACGTCCAGATCCAACAGGTTGTAACACGAGTTCGGGTTTCTCTCTCTCTACTTCTCTTCTTTGCCCTCTACCCGTCTTCTTACGTTTTTTATTCTCTACCAAGGGACTCCAAAACTTTTACCAAAGCCAACTCCACGCCACGTGGTCCTAAGACGATTGACCGACTTAGGATTCTACACCCAGTATGACGTGACCTAGGCTCTGAGCAAAACCCTAGAGTCGCCTCTACGCTGCCACCACCAGACCAGTAACACAGAGCAATGATCGAGGTCTGGATCGATCACGCTAATTAATCAACCTTGGGGCTTGATCCCCACTATAACCGATGACCGTGGAACTTAAGAGTGTGAAATTAATTACACGGGAATGATTCGATGTTAGAATCGATGTTAGAATCGGCGCCCAATCCAACTCTGCCTCGTGTGGACCACGTGACCAGGACAAGTATACACATAACCAAATGGAAACAATAAAAATGCAAAATACTAACAATTTTAATTTATTAAAAGAAAAACTAAAACAAAAAATCTAAATATGTTCACTCCCTGTCACTTTAACACTCCCTACTTGACCTGAATGGCAAATGAGACTATTTCTATACATAACCATAGCAACTATACCTCTATGTTTTACCAGCTAAAGATGTTGGGCTGGTCTCGGGGAGAGGTAAGATGTTTGACCTCTCCCAGCTGCTCGGCAGATCACACTGATCTCTCCCTTGTCTCGTCTACCCCAGACAGAGCATTGTAACCTTCCGCCTAGTCAAAGTTTCACCAAGTTACTAGCAAGGTTTAAGTTATAACAATTAACCTCTGTTTGTACTGAATTGATCCAGACTGGTTGAATTCTTTTACTGAAATTAAATTACACAAACATCTAACGGCAAAGCTGTTCCCGATCCCCCAAAAATGGATAATTGAACTTTTAAGAAATAGTAGACCTGTCAACCCTGCTGACCTATGACCGCCGGTCACTCCGCCTTACAAGTTAGATCTGATTCGTGACGTCACTGATGGTGACTTAAACTCAATAATTAGAATACTCTTGATATTGTATCCAGTACTATTATACAATACAATTTTAATACAAAATGAATAAAGGCTAATTTCTCTAAATTACTGAATACTATAGGATGATTCATTATACGCAGCTATGAACAAAGCGTTGGTTATTTCCACCGCGAATTCCCCTGGGGGTCAGGTCCCCAGGTCACCATGCGGGCTCAGCTTCCCATCCTCTTTTGTCGATAAACCACTCTGGATAATTCTTACAACAGCCTAGTTTGTTACAAGGTGCCTCTTGACCTCATCTCTTGTAATTTCGAACCCTTCCAAGGCCGCCTTGTTTACTGCCACCTCTCCTAGCGCAGTGACCTCTCCTTGTTCTATTGTGAAGACCTCCTGGAACCTCTTGTTGAGTTCTTCACACATCTCTTGGGTGAAGATGTTTAGGTTCGGTTGGCGATTATTTGCATTTGTAGTACGTGGGTGAAGCATTTATAGCGTTTTGATCCGAACAAAATTCATCAGTGAAGCACTTATTCCAGAAGTGTTCGAACGAAATCAGTTGTGAGTCGTGTGTAAACCGTTTTTTATTCATAAACAGGGAGTTTGGCGGGTGCATGGATTCAATTTTGGGTTTTTGTTTGGAGACGGGCTGGGGCCAGATTCACGAAGTAGTTACGAAAGCACTTACGAACCTGTATATCTTTTCTCAGTCTTTGGCGGCTTTGTTTACAATTATTAAACAGTTAATGAGCTCGGAAGCACCAGGAGGCTGTTTATAACAATAACAACAGTTGATTGGGAAGTTTGCACGCTTGTAAACTGTTTAATAAATGTAACCAAAGCCGTCAAAGATTGAGGAAAGATGTACACGTTCGTAAGTACTTGCGTAACTGCTTCGTGAATCTGGCCCCTGGTTTTTGGGGTTGACCGCTGGATGGAATGGACTTAAGTTAAGGACGGGTTGCGTACTACAAATACAAATAATCGCCAACAGAACCTACACATAACCATATACATCTTTAATATGTAATAATATCAAATATGAGAACAAACCTAATTTTATTGCATAATGTTGAAATTGATCAATGATGCGTCTTGAGGAAGAAGGGTTACGGCCGCCGCTTTAACGAGCCTCGCCTGACGACGGGTTGAGGATGGTTTGGTGCTTGACCTCTGAAAACGAACATAAGCAGTTAGCATTGTTATTGCGAGTGACCTCACATGTGTAATGTCAACACGACGTATTGTACATGTATTGTACATGTATTACATACGACCATTATGTCTCCGACCATCGCTTTGGATTTGTTGGGGAGTTTTTTTTTATACTTTTGTATTTTTTGTATACTTTTTATACATTTCTTTTCGACATTTTTTTTTTTTTTTTTTTTTTTTTTTTTTTTTTTTTTTTTTTTTTTTTTTTTTTTTTTTGCCAATAGTTCCGATTTTTCTGTTGAATTGCTTTAACAAATTCAAATGTTATTTCTTATTTCTTTGGTCAATCTTTTTTTTTTTTACATTCCCGGCCACTACCTCATCTATACCTCTCTCTCTCTCTCTCTCTCTCTCTCTCTCTCTCTCTCTCTCTCTCTCTCTCTCTCTCTCTCTCTCTCTCTCTCTCTCTCTCTCTCTCTCTCTCTCTCTCTCTCTCTTTCTCTCTCTCTCTTTCTCTCTCTCTCTCTCTCTCTTCTCTCTCTCTCTCTCTCTCTCTCTCTCTCTCTCTCTCTCTCTCTCTCTCTCTCTCTCTCTCTCTCTCTCTCTCTCTCTCTCTCTCTCTCTCTCTCTCTCTCTCTCTCTCTCTTTCTTTCTCTCTCTCTCTCTCTCTCTCTCTCTCTCTCTCTCTCTCTCTCTCTCTCTCTCTCTCTCTCTCTCTCTCTCTCTCTCTCTCTCTCTCTTTGTATACACTCTTCATCTATACACTGTTCGTTTCCTGTGTTTGTCTCCCCCTTCTTCTGTCTTCTCTTCCTCTCCTCTCCATGCCCTATTTTCTTCACTTTCTCTACTCCACTCTCTTCACTTTCCCTTTCCTCTACTCGTTCATCCTCCATATCATTCTCTTCTACCTCGCGTTCAACATTCTCTCATTCCCCCTCCCTACTATTCTCTCTCTCTGACCTCTTCCCCCTCTCTACTCCAATCCCCTCTCTCTCTTCTCACCTCTCCCTCTCTCCCTGTCCCTTTCTTTCCTCTCCCTGCCCCTCCCTCTCACCACGGTTCTGTACGCTGGGGAAATTATCGGAGTAGCGACTTCATACCTACAGTGTAACCTTAGACGAGTATGTGGCAGCCCTCACCACAGCCTTGATTTGTCACGCCCGGTACTACCGGGGACGCTATTGGTACTACTGGTGACGCTCCTGGTAGTACTGGTGACGCTCCTGGTACTACTGGTGACGCTCCTGGTATTGCCGCCTAACCACTTCTACTGGGCTGGACGGTCTCGCTTCATGCAGGTCGGCGTTCAATTCCAGACCGTCAACCAAGTGGTTGGGCACCATTCCTTTCCCCCCCGTCCCATCCCAAGTCCTTATACTCATACACTGGTGATATCTGGTGTTTATACTCATACCATGGTGATATCTGGTGTCTATCTATCAAGATATCTGGTGATATCTAGGCATCACTAGTAATGCCAGGGTGGTACTGGTGGATGCTGTGTGTGTGTGTGTGTGTGTGTGTGTGTGTGTGTGTGTGTGTGTGTGTGTGTGTGTGTGTGTGTGTGTGTGTGTGTGTGTGTGTGTACTCACCTAGTTGTACTCACCTAGTTGTGTTTGCGGGGGTTGAGCTCTGGCTCTTTGGTCCCGCCTCTCAACCGTCAATCAACAGGTGTACAGATTCCTGAGCCTATCGGGCTCTGTCATATCTACACTTGAAACTGTGTATGGAGTCAGCCTCCACCACATCACCCCCTAATGCATTCCATTTGTCAACCACTCTGACACTAAAAAAGTTCTTTCTAATATCTCTGTGGCTCATTTGGGCACTCAGTTTCCACCTGTGTCCCCTTGTGCGTGTTCCCTTGTGTTAAATAGACTGTCTTTATCTACCCTATCAATCCCCTTCAGAATCTTGAATGTGGTGATCATGTCCCCCTAACTCTTCTGTCTTCCAGCGAAGTGAGGTTTAATTCCCGTAGTCTCTCCTCGTAGCTCATACCTCTCAGCTCGGGTACTAGTCTGGTGGCAAACCTTTGAACCTTTTCTAGTTTAGTCTTATCCTTGACTAGATATGGACTCCATGCTGGGGCTGCATACTCCAGGATTGGCCTGACATATGTGGTATACAAAGTTCTGAATGATTCTTTACACAAGTTTCTGAATGCCGTTCGTATGTTGGCCAGTGTTGTGTGTGTGTGTGTGTGTGTGTGTGTGTGTGTCCACACACCCGCCAGGAAGGACACCGCACCACTGTGGTAATCATATACTTGGGGGAACAGCGAGCAGGTGTGTGTGAACACACCTGAGCCAACAGATTCTCACCTTCCCTCATAGCGGCCTAACCGGGTCAGTTTAATCTGCCTGTGATGCCTGGCGTTTGGTGGCTGAGGAGGATTTCGCGAGCTTAGGGGGCTCTGGAAATTGGCCGTCTTGTGGTTACTTGTGTTGGGAGGTGTGAGGCGTGGTTGTGTAATGTGGTTGTGATAGTTATTGCTTGGTTATACAGCTTGTAGTTGTAGTTCTTTGTGGCTTTGTCCTCTTTGGTTGTGGGGGGGGGGGAGATTAATTACTGGTGAAATTACTTGTTTCTCGTCGATGTTACTAAAATGGTGGCAGAAATTCTCCTATATTATACCTATTTGTGTTTTATTTGTGTCATAAACACAAATAAACACCTATTTGTGTTTATGTCATATACATGAGCAGGTATGCTTTAGTTATGTCATATATGTGAGCAGGTATGCTTTAGTTATGTCATATATATGAGCAGGTATGCTTTAGTTATGTCATATATGTGAGCAGGTATGCTTTAGTTATGTCATATATATGAGCAGGTATGCTTTAGTTATGTCATATATATGAGCAGGTATGCTTTAGTTATGTCATATATGTGAGCAGGTATGCTTTAGTTATGTCATATATATGAGCAGGTATGCTTTAGTTATGTCATATATATGAGCAGGTATGCTTTAGTTATGTCATATATGTGAGCAGGTATGCTTTAGTTATGTCATATATGTGAGCAGGTATGCTTTAGTTATGTCATATATATGAGCAGGTATGCTTTAGTTATGTCATATATGTGAGCAGGTATGCTTTAGTTATGTCATATATGTGAGCAGGTATGCTTTAGTTATGTCATATATATGAGCAGGTATGCTTTAGTTATGTCATATATATGAGCAGGTATGCTTTAGTTATGTCATATATGTGAGCAGGTATGCTTTAGTTATGTCATATATATGAGCAGGTATGCTTTAGTTATGTCATATATGTGAGCAGGTATGCTTTAGTTATGTCATATATATGAGCAGGTATGCTTTAGTTATGTCATATATATGAGCAGGTATGCTTTAGTTATGTCATATATGTGAGCAGGTATGCTTTAGTTATGTCATATATGTGAGCAGGTATGTTTTAGTTCCTCACACTTCACACACCTCACACACCTCACACACCTCACACACTTCACACACTTCACACACCTCACACACCTCACACACCTCACACACCTCACACACCTCACACACCTCACACCATGCCTCTCATCAGTAATACTCTCCAAAACCGTGTAGATAAATTGGCGAAGAATGTGAACAATATTTTTAGCAGTTAGTGAGGACAAGAGAATTTGCATCACAGTTGGATGAGTCAATTTTGCCGGGTAAAGTCTCAACTACTTGCTAATGTCTACGGGTTCACCATAGCCTGTGCTACTTGGAACTTTTTGTTCCAAGTAGCGAATCTTAAACAACAACAACAACATCACTAATGTGCGCTATATAGAAGATCAAAGACCATCGAGTTATTTGGAAGACAGTTAGTAGCAGATACTAAAGGAAAGTGACTGTTTTGTGGCGTTGAATAGTTCTTTGAAGCAAACGAGATTCCCATCACTAACATACTTGATTGTCCAGCTGATGAAGCACCTGGAATAACTGGTCGCTATTATGATTTTCCTGCTTGTTTGAAAAGGAATTCCTAATACCTTCACCATTCATTGTGATATTCATCGCCAACATCTGTATGCAAGAACATCTTAGTGAACGCTTGCACAGTTAATTACACACTGTCATTACTTCAGGTACATTGAAGCTCTCAGTGATCGATGCAAAATAAGAATATATCTGAGAGATATCAAGATCTTTTATTAGATATTCCAGAATGGGTCTTAAGTCCATTTTCAGATCCTGAGAGAGTTGGAGTAGAGGAGGAACTAGCCGAGCTGCAAGATAACATTGAGCTGAAGCCAAAGTTTATTGACTTGGGTTACAAAGGTGAAGCTTGCATTGTCAGCATCAGTCTCGGTGTTGTCCTGCTCCTTCAACTTATCATAATCCAGAGCAATCTTCACATTACTGGACGTGTTCATTTATAACTCCTGGAAAATATATCATGAAACCTGAAATTAGAAAACTGCCTTGAGAGCTCATCCGACACATTAACAAGGCTGACGGGACGGGGACTAAAGTACCCTCGATTAACATATATTTGAACTATTTAAATTACATTCAGACTTTTTATATAGGATTTGATATACAAAACCGTAATTATATTAATTCCACCAATAATTTTTTTTATCTTCTTGGTGTGTGGCTTATATCGTTACTCTTAAGTAATGACGTTATGGTGGGGAGGAGCACTGTCAACGGCGATATTTGTTAAGTCTGCGGTTCCAAGCTCGATTCCCGGTGGAGTAAAATTTTCTTGACGTTTGATTTTCGGAAGTGCAGAATTGATCACACTGTCTTCACAGGTATATATAGGCCATGTACCGTCGATACTGTTCTACCGTCTGTATCCTTGGAGATTATTCTCTCTCTCTCTCTCTCTCTCTCTCTCTCTCTCTCTCTCTCTCTCTCTCTCTCTCTCTCTCTCTCTCTCTCTCTCTCTCTCTCTCTCTCTCTCTCTCTCTCTCTCTCTCTCTCTTCCCCCCCTCCTCCCTCCCATCGGGAACAATTAGCTCACTCTCGAAGGTATGGCAACAATTACAGAGCAAGTAAGTAGCACTAATACCTCTGCCAGACCATCGCCGCTGATCTACAACATCCCATTTCCCCACTCCTCGCTGGCGGATAAATGTCGGAAAGTAAAAGTTGGAAAGCCGCCCCGGGACCCACCGCCGGTTGCTACCTCGCTCATTACAGCGTCTTACAGATGAGTTCGCGAGCCCTGGAGGGTCCTGGACCCGTCTCGTAGCGACGAAGTACTCCGGTGAAGCCGCACTCGTTCCTTCGAACGGTAATGTCTCGTAAAGTGTCTCGCTGTGCACTTCTCCGGAGGTGGTGATGAGGAGGTTCACGGGTCCGGAACACATCGCTGAGGTAACTCGACTTTCCGAAAAGGTTGAGGCGCTCTTGGCGGGATATGGTGAGAGGCTCTCGAGTCGTTGGTTCGGGAGACCGTTATCTCGTGTGGGGTGGCGGGTGGGATTTTTTTTTTTTTTACCTGATGGAGTTGGTACGACCGGGTTTCAACTCCTGGGCTCCGCTTTCTCCATTTTCGGTTGTGATGAAGTGAGTGCTTGTGACTTTGTTTCGTGTGTGTGTGTGAGCGTACATGCGTCTGTGTATATCTGCTTTTTTAATATTTTTTGGGAAAAACGAAGCCCGATATAACCCAGAACAACGTTTATGTCAACTCCAAGCGCCCGTAACATTGTGTGGTGTTCAAGTCTTCCGGGAGAGGAAGATGAGCTTCTTGGATTCTGGAATTCAGTGGTGTAAACAAGGCTTATGTGAGGCGAGGCTCACACGTCACGTGAAGCATCTTCTTCTTGTTCTTGTTCTATTGCTGTTGTTGTTTTTGCTGCTGCTGCTGCTGCTGCTGCTGCTGCTGCTGCTGCTGCTGCTGCTGCTGCTGCTGCTGCTGCTGCTGCTGGTGTTTTTCTA